GCAATGCCATTGGGGGTTAAAATCTGGGATTTCACATCTTGGTTAGTACAATTATTAACTATTTCACAGTAGTACAGTCATGAATTTTTTTTTTAACCACATGGTTTCCTCTGCATCTGCCCACACCAAGCACCTTGCTGAGGGTTATCCCCAAGACACCGGCAATAGCCACAGCTTAGTAAACCCCCACAGCTCAATGGACCCAAGGACGGTCCATCGAGTGAGATCAAAGGCTCACTGAAGGATGCTCAGAAACAGGGCAAATACACATGATACTGCCAAATATTTTTGGAAGCCAGCAGCACTGCCTCACGTCCACAGCAAGAGCCGTGTGCGAGCTCCATGCTTGCTGCCGTGGCACTGCGGGCAGCACCGGCCACCCGGCGATGTGAGCTGCCCCTGGGGCCACAACTCCCGTGAAAGGGAAAACGAGATACCCGAACGCCTACTGCTGCTCCCTTACCAAGAGAGCGATTTGCGCTGTCACACGAGGGAGTCAGAGCATCCTTCTGCCTGGGCTTTGTCCAGTCTCTTCTTGGGGACACGTTGGACACCTCCTGCAATACCCTCCCCGGTCGCTGGATCTCTGCTTCTTCTTTCTTCTACTCCACAGCGAGGTACCAGGCTCGGTCTTTTCTGGCCTCATCTCAGAAAGCCCCGAGCGGGCTCTGCTCCTGCTTGGGCTGCACCCCCTGGCACAAGCCCAGCCGCTCCAGCCCACCCAAGACACCCTGCTCGCCCCAACGCCCACCGCAGCGGGCTGATAGCTATCGTTAGTGTCGGTTGTGCTTCCTCATTTGCCTGAGGTTCCCTTTTCCTTGGAAAACACATCCAATGTGTTGGTCTCCTCGTGCTGTCTGCTTTCTCTCTCCCTGGAGGGGCAGCCCAGCTTCTTCCTTGATCTTGCTTCTCCTCCCGATGCCGTGCCGAGCCACGCGCCTGCACTGCTCCCAAACTCCTCCGCCCTTCGTGCTCCCTCTCCGCACGACCGTCCCTCCTCCCGCCCTGCTGAGGACAACTTCTGGAAGCCTTTGCTTCCTGCTCTCCCTCCTTCCTAGGCTCAGTGGTGGACCTCCTCCCTTCTCAGCTCACTCTGCCAAAAAAACCTGCACAAACAGGCTCCAAAATCTGGATATTCCCTTTTCTCCCATATTTCCTCCCAAATCTTGACATCTGGGTGATGGATATCCCCCAGAACTGGCTGATTTTATCCTTCAAACCTGCCACTTCCCCACCGGTCCCGATCCACCTCACCTTCCACCGTACTCCTGGGTGAGAAGAAACCCAACTGTAGGACAAACATTGAGGGGTTCCCCATCGATGGAAGGTGAGGAGCTGCCGGCAGAGCCGGACATCAGCACCAGTGCTATTCCCATGCCGGTGACACGTCCACGGTGGGAAAGTCAAAGCCAGGTGAAGGGGGGTGGTGGTGGGATTTGTACCCAGATCTCTTCTGAGCTTTTATTTATTGGGCTAAATCCTTGCAGACTCTTACCCGAGTTACTCTCTGGCAGGTCCTGAAAAAATAGCCCATCCTTCTGGAGTCCATCAACTCACTCGTTTCGTTTGTGCTGGTGTGAAAGTGTGATAGAAAAAGGGGTTCTGACTCGGGACGCTCTTGTCTCCAGACCAAACAGGACTCAATAGCCAGACCAGCTCTTTCTTCCCCAAAACACCACCACTGCCTTCACAGACCTCTCTTCTCCCCAAATAGTTAATTTTCCCGAACCTCAACTGAGCTCCCAGCAGGGAAAGCCTGGCCGCAGGCAGGTTACTGCCGACAGGACTGGCCCAGTGATATCACAACGGGGTTTTGGAGCTCACCAAACCCCAATGCCACAGACGTGGTGGGGCTCACCCCCTCCCTGTGGTGGGCTGTGCTGTGCAGCTTGGGGGTGAGAGCAAAGTGCGCATCCATCGTGGGACATGAAGGGCTTGGGTCCCCAAATCTTGGGTAAAAAAATATGCAGGGTAGGGATAAGAGCTGCTGCTGTGCTGCAGCATGTGCAGAGCTGACACGTAGGGTGCTGTGTGTCCCCAGCCACACTTTGAAGCCGAATTCTCCGAGGTCGTCGTCTGCAAGAACGAGCTCCATGATACGTTGAACAGCCTGTCCCAGTGGATGAAGGACAAGCACGTGGAGAGGAATCTGGTAAGGGGGAAGATGAAGGATAGGATGGAGGGGAAGGACCCACCTGCCGGGCAGAGATGGGTGGGATGTGGGCATGGAGACAGTGGTGCAACGAAGCACTCCTGATGTGGTGGGTGTCCTGCAGGCGACCCGGCTGGACTCAGCCTTCATCCGCAAGGAGCCGTACGGGGTGGTGCTCATCATCGCGCCGTGGAACTACCCCATCAACCTCCTCCTGCAGCCCCTCATCGGGGCCATCGCTGCCGGTGAGCTGAACCAGTCCCCTGGCCCAGAGGATCCAGGCAGTGCCAGGCGCTGGCGAGAGGGCACCTCGTCCCCAGGCTGGGGTGCCAGAAGGGCTGGCTGTCACCATGTTGCTGCTCTGATGTCCCGTCTATCTCCCTCCAGGTAACTGTGTCGTCATGAAACCCTCGGAGATAACCAAGAGCACTGAGAGACTCGTGGCTGAAGTGCTGCCCAGCTACCTGGACAAGGTAAGAAGCTCTCCCTGCCCTTGCCTCACGGCCAGGGTGTTCCCACCCCCTGCACACACCAAGCTGTGCCCTGTGCCCCCCCAGCACTGTACCTGCCTTGCACACACCAGCACCACACCATCCCTGGTTTCAGGTGCTGCCGTACCTCCTTCCGCCACGCTCAGCCGGTGTCCCCATGC